CAGGCCGGAGGAGGCCTTCACTTTGGAGTTGCTCTACCGCGTTTTTCTTGCTAAAAACACCCGGAAAAACTCTGTCAGCTTCAGGTTAGCATGTAGCTAATGTCCCACAGCGTGTGATCTCCGACTGTGGCGCATGAGCTGATGTGAAAGGCACCAGAGCCCGGCTATGATCACAGTGGTCTGAGGCTCTGCTTGTAAGTCAACAGTTCTGGTCCATAATAGATCTCCACAGGCAATCAGCATGACTACAGCCTTGCACGGGAGCCAGTCCGTCGTGCAGGTGGGCTACCCCAGTCCCCAGAGCCCCTTCTTAGCTTCTTGGTTTAGCTAAGTTAGCTAGTAGCTACACTGGTTCATTTGTTCCAACGCTGTTCCAAACATAACAGCCCCACCCTCAGCTCCACCTCTTTTCCCATCTTGGGATTGTCTGGGCGTGACGACACGTGTGACACAATAAAAAAGAATCAGTGGTGGGAACCTTCCATTTTTGGCTTCAACCTGCCCCCTGGGAACAATAGGCAGGTTATGTCCATATTTTTATATGCCGATGGTTGCTACCAGCCATAATCACAGAAAGGGGAGGGGGCTTATGGTGCGATACATTTTTTCTGCCTCTAGATGGTGCAATCTGAGAAAAAACTCAGAATTTCTGCTTTAAAGCACAAGTCATGCCCAGACTGGAGTCTTACTTGAACCACACTTTTAATTTAAAAATGCACCGAAAGGAAGCATCACTGAGGCAGTGACTGACAGCTCCAGCTTTCTTCTTAGTGGCCATTTAGTGTGTTATTGATTATAACACGCATAATAGCCATAATAGCCAATATATAATGCTTTTATCTCGATTGTATCTTTGTTACGTTCGTTCTGTGTTTCTTATCCGATTAAATTTTTTCTAGTTCTTTAGGATGCACAGAGTAAATCGAGCTTGTTTTTAACTTTGCTGACATGTTTTGGCTCTCACTGGTACCTTTGTCAGATTTTTTACCGATGTTGGCGGTGTCACTTCCTTCTCCGTTTATCTACGGGCAGCAGAGGACAATATCGCCCCCTACTTCCCACACCTTCTCCATTGATCACCATATTCCATGAGTGGTGCAGTGTGTACAGCCCTTCATCACTATTCTTTAGGAGATAAGGAGAAGTGGACCCAGGACTATGAACACAAGATGTGTGTAGGTTGGCAACGCCCATGTCCCTTTAAGAAACTATACCACCTCGAGTCACATGACAGCATGACTAAACAGTCCCATCTAGTGGACAACCTTTTTTTGCACATACATGTATCGTCAATTGATCGTCGAACTCCTCAGTATACCGTGATATTGATTTTAGGCCATGTTGCCCAGCCCTAGTGTATAGTAAAGAACCAGAATCTATTGTATTGTATGAACCCTTAGCACCAAGTCACTAATATAATTTCCTGCTTGTTTCTAAAAAAATATTCAGTACTGCTGACTTTGTTTTATTTAGGCAGCTTTGTGTTTAGACAAGCTGAACGTTAGACACTATAACTGTGGTTCCACAGTGTCACAATGTGCCGGTGAGTGAGACGGAGGTGAGGATCCAAGTGCAGGGGAAGAAACAGGCCGGGAGGCAGACAGGAACATTTAAAACACGGATTTAATGGAGGACACGCAGAACAATGAAACAATGAGCCAACCAGACAAAATGGACTAACAGGGTTTAAATACAGGAGGAGCTGGGACCTTGGGTGATTGGGAGACGAGAGGCAGGTGGGAGCAATTAACGTGGACACAGGACTGAACAGAATGGGGAGACAGGACAGGGTGTGACACAGATTTTTTTCTAAAGGTTTGTTCCCATTTTCAAGAGTATGCATGTTAACCTAACTGTGTTGTTGCTGAAAGTTTCTGTGCACGTTGATTTGGAGTGGATAGTGATGTTTATATTTTGCTAGAGTTGCACTCCATGCAAGTATGGCAACGGTTCATAATAGTGTCATGTTTTACCACCTGGAGTTATGAAAACTTCCCTTGCACAAGACCGTAAACAAGTATCATCAGTGAGTCACTGCAGGCTTGTCATTAGATTCATTCATGCCAGAAGCTCCTGATTAGGTCTGTCTGCTCTGTGGTTCTGCACATCCATGGCTGCTTAGTCCCCTTCTGACCTCACAAGCATCCATGACCCTGTAGAGTGACCCTGACCCCACCTTATGCACGTGCACTACAAACTAGCAAGTTTCTCTCACACACACACACACGCGCGCGCGCGCGCGTTTTCCTTTTCCCTTTAGACAATTGTGTTGCTCATTCTCTGTGGTGGAAACCAGTCATTTCCACATGTGTGCTGGCCATAAAACAGCAAAGAGCCGACTAAAAGCATCCTTTTCCTGACTAGCAGGGTCACAGTCTCGGATAAACACAGGACACACCTTAGCCCAACAGCTTTCCGTCTGACCTGAAGCAGCTCTATCTCGTTTTTATTTTTAAAACATGATACACAAAAAAAGAATTTCACTTGACTCTGTAAACTTCTGTGTATTTTTCCCTTAATAAAAAAAAGCCTTAAAGCCAAGCTGAGAAGTGCAGCTGGGGTCTTTGTGTGCCTCAGCGTGCCTCGCGCTGGGTTTCCCGAGTATTGTCATGACAACAGTGTGTACGCACCGACTCTGGCCTTTGGAAACAATACTCCCAGCTTAAAGTGGACTAGCCAGGAAGTTTTATGTAAAAAGAAAAACTTTCAATTCTCTGAATTTATCCAGAAGAGAACAAGAAACTACCAAGTAAACGGGCGTTAAAAATAACACAAGTGTCCACTGGACATAAGATGCACGCGCCTCTTACCTTTAGACTCTTGACGAAGAAGTGAACATTCTTCACAAGAGGTCCGGGTTGCTAACGCATCAGCTGCCGTAAATGGCTGCTACAGGGTAACAGAAGTTTAGACAGATTCAGTGGAGCTCGCATTTCCGAGCCTTGAAGCATGTGTGAAAAGAAAACAGCGAGCAGCCGCAGGGAAACTTTCTCCGCCCAAACTCATTCTCTGCTTTCTGTCAGGGGGATGCCTCGCTCCGCCTCGCTCAGCACCAGGCTAAATCAATGGACACGATGACCGCGTCCTAAAAGGACACTTCTTGTTTCCATGCACCAGTGTGTAGTTAAACTTGGTTTCTGTAACATTTTGTTTTACTTCCTGATCAAAGTCAGCTGAGATGATTGAGTTCAGGCGGCACCAGTAGCCTAATATCACATAATTAACGGGTTTTGAACATCACCCTGCTATTTAGTCACCCAGCCGTCCGAAACTGCCCTAATCCTTTGAACCTCCCCCGGTTCAAACAGCCCGGGTGACACCGGTATTAACGGAGGTAATCCAGACTCTCTGAAGCTTCACATGCTACATTTTTATCCATTTAAATTACGTTCATGTTTTAAAGAGACAGCAACAGTTTGACCATTATCTATTAAAAATATTTAACTAGTTATGGCTCTAAAAATAAGAAATAAACAAGTCTACCCTTATTTGAGTCATAACTATTATTCAGCGGGTTTAATGAGTAAAATAAGGAGTGTAACTCTTTAAGCTGATTTACGCAATTGGAAACATGGAACTGTGTATTTTTGAATGTTTTGTGTGATGAAGAAACATTGATGGCAGACCTAATCAACACAATATTTTTTCTCAGAAATTCCACAATTATTTAATTTCTGAAAAAATAATCAAGTAACAATAGGACAAAGAAATGTGGGTTGAGATTTGACCCTTAAGCTTTTATTTATTGTCCATTTTAATACAACATCCTATACCTATCTCGCTGGTTACCAACCTTTTTTCCGAAGAACCCAACACCAGCCCTTATGCCTACGTATGTTAAACTACAAACTTTATTCCAACATTATGACTCATAGATAACATTTGGAATTATACTATTGTGTGTGGTATTAGGATTTTAAAAATGCAATGAATATAGTCTTGGTAACTTCACATACTCAGCAGAGAAAATTGTGGGGACCCTCTGCAGCCTTTATATATATATATATATATATATATATATATATATATATATATATATATATATATATATATATATAAAGAAAATAGATAAAACTAAGAGCAAGTCTCTCCAAATAAGAACAATGTGTGTATGTTCAATGGAATAAAATATTTCAGCGAAGGGAAGAAGTCCACCAATGGGGAGTCTTTTGACAGCAGCAATTTGTTTCACTGAAACTAACAAAGGCATTAAAGATGATGATACGATGGTAAATTGTACATATTATAAAAGCACATTCTTGCACTTCACCGCTGTTTTTCATTTAAAAAAAAACAACTATAAAATCGGTCCCGCGTTTGTTGTCCCGCACTGCCACCACTAGATGACGCTATAAATTCACCATTCGGCGTAAAATGAAGACCGGAAAACGACTAGGGATAACGCGTAATCGTAACAAGCACTTTTGTATAAAATAATCTAAGGGGTTTAATCAAAACGTAAAACTTCTAAATTCAACTAAAATATGTTTAACTTGAATGTTTGTGTTGTGTATGATTAGCAAAGGTGACGACCGTCATACCCGGATATCCTAAAGTTCCCGGTGGAACATGGGAAAAGGAGTTTTCTGTTTTAGTATTCTTCAATACGTTTTACGTTGACAACGTACCATCTGACTCACATACATCAGCACGGGCAGGTTTGGTACGTATTGTACGTACGTGTTATTTCTATTTGCTTCGTAGAAAGTCCCCTTCCTTCCTGGGCTGTTTGAGGTAAACCTACGCGGTCGCGTTGGTATCGGTAATACCTGACGGAGTGGAAATTACCTCCTCATTTATCTGTTTGTCACAAACGTCAGAGGTATGGGGCGTCCGCGTAAAAGGAGTAGCGTTTTAGCTAAAGCCTGAAAAGGCTAAAGGGGACCAGAATCTTTACCCCGGGAGCAACTTGTCTTTTTCATGGCTGTGAAAAGTTAACACCGAGAAACGGAAAAGCAGGAATAATTCTCCAGCGTCTCCGTTAAGGTAAGAACCGCCTGCTTGTGAGTGGACTCGGCTATTGAGCAACGACGTTTGCTCAGGCTGAGGAGCTGAAGTGTCTTTGTTTACAAGCGTCCCTGGAGTCCTCGTCTCAATGGGGTTGTTCACTCGTCTCATCCTCGTCCAGCCACAGTACAAGCTTGTGTTGGTGGCAAGAATAACTCAGAAACTTGTGTATCTAGCGGTCTTTTACAGAGCTGGATGTTCAGCTCCTTGAATTGCCGTTTGTATGGCTGGAAACTCATCTCCTTTCTGTTTGTTGGTGGCCTAGGAGCAGGATCAAACCAGCACATCATCATCATCATCATAGGGAACATCCCAGCATCTCCAGTGGGTAGTGATGGGAGGGGGGTGGTGGCCTTGGGTCAGCCAGGACATTAAGGGTGGTGCAGAAAGAACAACCAGCAATGTAGTATGAAATCGGCTCACATCCTCACTTCCTCTTCTTTCCACAGTCAGCATGTCTCCTGAGAATTGAAATGAAATCCTGTCTTTCCCTCTGGCACCGGCTGTGACAGCTGCTGCACAGCAACAGGACAGGACAGGTGGCTCTTGGACAGGTGCACCCTTACTGATTCGTTCTTATCTGTTCAAAGCTGTAGTAACTGAGTGTTAAATAACAACTATATCTGGATTTGTGCTGATTGTGCGTCTGCAAGAATTTTTTTAAGCAAATCACCCTAAAGCTGTTGCGTAACGTTCAGTTGTTCTTGCCATTTATTATAACATTGCATCTTATTTGATCTAAACTTACACAACACGCCCTTCCCTGGAACTGGAGTGGCTGGACATTCAGGTTCACTCATCATTCCAGGAGCTGGCACCTATTAAACTGATGAGTGGCACTGACTCACAGGGTTGTTTAAAATGAACAGAACACATGTCTTTAGAGAGAGACGTCTCGTGATCTGGATGCTGCTGTGCATTGTGTGTCCGCTCTGCTGGTGCAGAATGAGGTCAGGAAAGTTATTTGAAGTGGAATAACAGAGGAAAGGGAAAGTTTGATGGCTTATCTGAGTAATGTACAGCGACAGTTGAGTGTCATAGTCCCCACTGTTCTCTGTTTAACCCTTTACACACCTTCCTAAATGCTTTGTGTTTTGTATTTAAGCGATGAGAAGTGTGTGTGTGTGTGTGTGTGTGTGTGTGTGTGTGTGTGTGTGTGTGTGTGTGTGTGTGTGTGTGTGTGTGTGTGTGTGTGTTTAAGTGAACAGGACATATCTTGGATACACCTGATAAACAGTGACGCTAGTGAGTGATCGGGCTTTATTCAAATCTCTTGAACGCAGCCTCTCAGCTTCGCTCTGCTGCCGAGGCCAGCGCGCATGCGCCCTCGGTAATCCGCCGGAGGAGATTGCATCCTCGTCCACTGTGCTAGGGCTTTCAGTGAGGGAGCATCAAAAGATGGTGCCGAAATGCGTGTAACGGGAGACCGGGGCGGCTATTAAACCGCACCATGGGACCGAAACGGACTGAGAAGTTCGGTCATTATTATGGGATGGAGCCGGTGAGCAGTTTCGCATCTTCCGCGGCGACAGCGGGACCGGAGCAAGGATGTGTGCTGATATAAGCGATATAAGAGATCAGAGCTTTGGAAAATGAGAGGAACGCAGCAGAAATGGAGCCGATGGGAGATGGGGTTTCAGAATGAACGAAGCCTTCACGTTCTCCTGCTGGATTAACTCCTGTGTGCACCACTGTACTCCCGGCCTCTGGACCGATGGACACGGACGTAGATCACACGTCTCACGGCAGCACTGCACCGTTATTTGTTATTATTAACTAAATAGCCAAGCTGGAAAGCAAAACTACGGTTTGAAACCCAGAAGATCGCCTGATATTTGATCAAACCTAAAAAGGATCTTTGCTGTGATTTGACTTTATCCCCCTCCCATCTTCTCCTACAAACTCCTGATCAAAATGCACGCCGTGAACTTTCGCCTCCCTGACAGTTTGGCTGTATTGACAAATGTTTCAGGCAGCTACTTCCCCTGCAGAGACTCGCCATGACAGGCAGTCCACATAAGTCCAAGTTGATAAACTGGACTGACCAGCTTTGGAGGAGTGGGATCAGACAGAAATTAAGCTGCAGATCTCAGACAGCGGAAACTGGGATCATCTCCCTGGCATAGCATGACACCCAGCATTCCTCCTGGATTTAGTTTGTAGGCTGAATCTAAAGCTGCGTTGTGAACATCTACATCAAGAAATGCCAGGTTTTATTTATGCTACATGAACCTTTGAAAATCCAAAACCATTTGTGCATCAACCCCCCGTATGTTTTTACTAGTAGAGCTCCCCAGCAGCTGTTAGTCATACTGGATGTCTGAAAGAGGAGACTTGGATATTTGCATGCTTGTAGTTTTGCCAAAACCCCTCCCTCCAAACGCAGTGCTGTCATGTCCCCCAGTGTCCATGTTGTAATAACCTGACCTTCACTCCAACAAGATCTGTAAGGTAAATCTGAGTCTGTGATTTTCCTCATGAAGCCAAGGGTGGCTTAGAGACCTTCCATGATGGGAAATCTCTGTGATGTTCCTAAACTTTACAGCTTGTCCTGATGTTCTGAACATGTGCAAAGGAAAGGAGAGCCAGGCAGATGTGACAGAAAGCTCACACAAGGAATTACATGTGGATTTGCAGCAGAAAGACGCAAGTATAAAGTGTACAGGAGAGAGAATTACAACGCTTTGCTCCTGAAGTATTACATTTAATCTCTGCTGAAAGCAGCCGTGGCGTTGGATTTTGTGATTTTTGCCTGAAAATACAACCGGAACTCTGTACTCCTTCTGCGTTATCCACATATTTTGCTCCATTTCAGTTTGCTTTTATTTGAACCTACAAGGAAGTCTTTGCTTTTGGGGGGGGCAGTATTTCCACAACTCTGGATCCCTGGTCAACTTTCATGTTGCAGGGAAGACAAAGCAAGAAAATCCACTTATCAGCGAGTATCTGATAATCCGTGGCGATGGGGAGTTCAGCTTCATCTCTAGCTGCAGAGACGGAGTCGGATCATGGCTTTAGCAGCACCCCCTACCCATCGTCACCCACTGTGGGCTGGCTCCGAAACAGCCACAGCAGTCCGGTGTGGGGGACCACCTTCATCACGCGGCAGCAACAGCACCCACTGCCTCACCGCGAGCGCAGGTAAGAGCCAGGTGCCTACCCCCTCCCTCAGTCAAGCACACTGGGGCTTTGATTTTAAGTCAAAAGGTCTGTGCCCAGTTTGTTGCAGAGTGATCCGTTCATTTTTGCTCTCCCGTTTTCCTCTTTGGTAATCCTTTTTTGAACTGCTTTCTGAACGAGGGATTCGGTAACCTTCCTGCCATGGATCACATGCACTGTTTCATCAGAGCTTATCTAATCAAACCCTGCATTTTGATGTTTGGCAAAGATTTACCCAAATCTGCCTAAGCTGGATTTAAAATAAATAAATGAATAAAACTTCTTCCTCCTCCCAGCTTAGCTGTGTGGTCCTGAGTGGATTGTTTGAGCAGATATGCTGACCTCGCCTCTCTGGCAGCCTAATAATAAAAAACCAAGCCAAAAGTAATTACAAAAATGAGGTTTGCTGTCATTCATTTTTCTGGCTTTACAACTTGATTTTATTCATCTTTTTAAATGTTATTTCTTAATTTCCAAATGGATTTGTTTTTAGTAGATTATATCAAAAATGGGCACATGTGCCATGAAACCCACTTGTTTAATGCTTTACAAAATTCTTGCTAGTAGGCCAGGAAGCTCAAAAGTGTCATTTTTAACATTCTGAAGCTTTTTCCAAGAACATCTGAGCTTCTAAGTCCGTCTGAAACTCACTGCATGTCAACAGTAGAAACTGTGCAGCAGTAATCCATGGTTGGAGTGCTCTGACTCTCAGCTCACCCAGGACTCTGATGGACTTTATTCCAATAGATGGCCTTCTCAGCCGCCCTCATAGAGACTTGTTTCAAAGTATTCCCAGCTTCCCCGTCAGTTATCTTTTGGGCCATGTCTCCCAGAACAAGAACAGGCAGTTGGTATTGACCACCTGAAGTGTATTGAAGTTGTTGCTGAGTCACTCAGGGCATCATGGTCTGGTTGTTGGCTATTGATCTTCACAGAGCCCGATCACCCCACATCCCAATAGATGTCATTATTTATTCAGCATTAGTTTCTAGTTGGAATTTCATCTTTCCTGATTCTCACCGACCACTGTCACTGTCTGCTTGATCCATTTAATCGATTTTGATCCATTTAATAGTTAATAGCTGTCTTGGCTTCCACAGCTTATTTGTCCAAGATTCTTTGTTTGTAACATAGAAAAACATTGTTTTGTTATTGTCAGTAACCATAAGGTAAAAATGGGGCATTAACATTTCTGTTTAATCAGCAAAACATAATCACTAAGCTGAGTTTGGTGAAAAAAGGAATCTACTTAGTTTATTGCACAGTAAAATCTGATTAGTTCTGCTTACTTAGAAAAAGCATGCGAACTAAGTACATAAGACTAGGTAATTATGTGTTTGAGCTACTAGAAATTTGTTTACAGAACCAGTTTTTCCTGAGCTGTATATACCTAACCATATACGGTGTACTAGTTTGTCTTATAGTAACTTATATTTAAGTGTATTAAGTAGATTTATGTTGGTGTGTTAGTAGCTGAACATTATCCCCAACACATAGTCACAGTAGAGTAGGACGGTATTCTTCTATTCATTCATTTACATTAAATTCTACATAATAGAGTATCACTGGCCTCCTAGAAACTGTTGTTTCTGTTGCATGTAAATTTGGTTATTTTAAAGTGACAATGTGTATTTTAACCTGAAATATCCATGAATTCATATATATATATATATATATATATATATATATATATATATATATATACACACACACACAAACATGGCTGCTGCTCGAAACTGTCCAATCACAGGTATCAGCCAGGTAAACTAGAAATCAAGATGGCTGCCATTCTGTAGTGGTCCAATCATGGCGCTATATAGATTTCATGGGCCAATCGCAACACTAAGTAGGCGGGATGTTATTGGAAAAAAAACGTGACTAGTCGGCGGTCAGCCGCTCGTTTGAAATGGCTTTGGCATCAAGTTTGGACTATTATGACTTTAGCTTTTGTTTGAGTCAAGGTTAGATAGAAGTACTAATGTTTATTCAGGAAAAGGATGTGTTTTGCATCTTCTTTGATGGAGTTTGGTGGACTGCCTTGTTGACCGACATCTGTAGCGGTGAGTACGTCATGGCTTGCCAGGCTAGAAGAAACTGAATTTATATCATCACGCAGGTATCTCATAAATACTCAATACCTACGTTAGATCAATACTATCAGTATTTTAGATCGTTCCGCCCAGCCCTGCTGGACGTGCGACTTGCGGAAGTTACGCTCCCATGTTCAAAAACATTTAGGTACTGAGCTGGGCTGGGCAATAAACATAAAATTTATTGTTATCGAAATTTCTGAGTCTTATCATGATAATTTTTCCCATGACAATAATTTTGATAGTAAAAAAATGAAAAGATGTGTGTTGGTTGGCAACACTCTTGTCCCTTTAAGAAGCTGTACCACCTTGAGTCACGTAAAAATGTGACTCAACATAGTACAAGTGAGAGCCCCATCTAGTGGCCGAGGTGTATTGGGAGCCTAAGTCACGCCCATCTACTTCCGGACCACGGGTCCCCGGAAGAATGAAAAAATGAATGCAAGTCAATGAAACTAAAAACGCTATTTTTTATTTCCACTCGTTATGTGCCATGGATTTCACACTTGATGTCCGTGAATTTTAATAACACATTTTGATACCAAGAATGTGCTTATTTTCAAATGGGGGGAAAACATTATCTTGGGAAAATAAGTCCAGGACTACAAATGCGCTTCACCAAAGTGGCGTCATCGAACCAGACATCGAGGAAAACAGGGAAAATGGGTGCAGGTTCAGTGAACTTCAAATCCTTCCTTCAGGGGGAAATAACCACCATAAAGCTGGCCATGTGGTAAGTAGCAGCTATGCTAGCGGAGAGGAGATTATGTGGTGACGTCATATATGCGACGTACCGACGTCTGATTTGTAGTCATGCTTATTATGAACTTTTACAAGCTGATAAATCTCAAAGTATGTGACTGGCGTAGTCGAAACACACATAATTACTTCTCATTTAAATGTGCGATCCAGGGTGTAAGGCAACGTGGATTAGAAAATGGCTCTTTTAGCCCCGTTGATTATTACTCATTTTTTTGTTCTTCCGGGGACCCATGAGCCAACCGGAAAGGAAGGAAACTTTGGCTCCCTATTGCCGTTGTATGATAATTTCATCAGCAAGCGCTGGGCCTCAAACAGATCTGGAAACTACAGCGCCAGAAAACTAGCAACAGAAAACTACAGTTGGCTTTGCATTCTCCCGATAGAATTAACTGAAGGACTATCAAAGTTTGAGGAGTCATTCAGAGGTTGCATGGTTTCTGCTCCACAGGTAACAACATTTGCCGTAATGTTTTTTTAAACTAGCTATAGTCATGGTGATATGTTGTAAAACTACCCTGAAATATATGTACTGCCCCCCTAGTGGCAGGCCACTACACACTGCCACTTTAAGCAGCTGTCAGACCTTGTTTTGTGCATAAGAAAGCTTCATAAATGAGGGTTCTCAGTATATTTTGCCTAGTTTTTGGATTATAAATGCAGGATAAGTGTAATTCTGTCAATGCTACACATAAGTCACCAAAGTAATTTAAATGACAAACAAGAGAACTGCATAAACAAAAGGTTTAAAATGTAACGTTAACTTTACAGCATCAATATACCACCTACTCATTGGTTTTTTAATGGTTCACTTTTATGGTATTTTCCTGTCAGCTGTGATTCTGCCCATTCGTAGGTTTTTTGGTCTAATTGTTTCCACCAAAGATCCTGCAACACTGTGAATGTTGTTTTCAAGAGTTGACCTAATCACCTATAACTTTGTCAACATAAACTGATCTTAGCTGAGAACTCTGGCATGATGAACGCTAGACCTTTCATTTAATCACAGCTTGATCAAACCACAGTTCAATTTGTGAATGAATTTCCTGCTGTCAGTCCAGCTTTCTGCCATCTTGCTTTTATTTAATTTTTTTTTAGATCTTCGGCCAAATCTTCTGTTGTTTTTTGCAGATCTCTGCAGCAACAAGCACATGGCTCCATCACCAGGCTACATCCTGAGTCATCCTAGCATTTAGGCTACACATCATATGTTACAGTCCATCCTGTCTATTTCCTGAAAGCATAATGGGATAACTACTCATGCATAATATATTGCATTAGATGTTTTAGTAAACAGTAGTTGCACTTGGAAACTGTTTTCCTGTCTACCTCCACTCCTCCTGTCTCATACCAACAGAATGATGCACATACTCTGCTGTGTGGGGCTAACAATGTTAGGCAAGCTTTGCTGAGCTGTGACAGAGCATGAAATATAGAAACAACAGAACAATACGAGCCCAGCATATTTTCAGCTGTTCTCATCTTGTTTGTTTTCTTATGAATTGTCCCATAAAGTAGTTTTCCTCCAGTCTTATCTTTGTGTTCTTTTCTCAGTTTTTGACTTTGGAAACTTTTGTTCATCCTGCCGGTGAAAGTTTTCTCATGTTAACAGCTGACTTATAAGCTTTGTGTGCGAGTTGCAGTTTCTCTAAACTTTGAAGACTCTGTCTTGTTTCTGTTTTAATTAAAAGCACCACAGTACATGTTGTTCGGCAAACAGTGGGCCACGAGGCTTTATTTCATTTCAGCCACACACTGCTTGTGTTTTGTGTCGTTCACTGCCTCGAGGGCTCTTGAGAACTTAAAGTCTGATTGTGCTTGCTCTCCAGAGTGGATCCTTGTGTGTCTTTTTTGTCCCGGCGTGATGGATGGTGGTGTTTATTGCAGCTTTACTCCTCTGGCTCTACTCCTTTTAATTGGATTAAAACTGGCCCACTTGGGCTCAACTAGCATGGTCAGCGGCTGTGTTTATGTACAAATTATTTCAACATGTCCTTCCTTGCATTTGGCTGTCTAATGATGCTGAGGCCGCGTCAGGACAGTCAGCCGCGCCTCCAGTATAGATTTGGCATCCAGGCATTGTATCATGCCATGGCTCTCTTTGGAAAACAGAGCAGTTATGCAAAAAATAGC